TATATGTTATATTTTAAATATATTTACATTATAATCCCAAGTTAGATTTTTTCCTTCTTCTGAGTTTTTAATGTAATTTAATCAGTCTAACAAAAAAGATTACTGTGATTTCCAGCATCAGATTGAGACTTATTTAGTCCTTAAGTACTAATGTTATTTTTGTTAATATTAAGCCTAATTTGCAAACTTTTACTTTATGTAGGAGTGCACACATTTCACTGCCTCCTCTGAAGGGGCTGGAGAAATGACCGTGATCACAGGTCTGTTGGTAACTGAGCCTACACAGCAAGAGGCAGGGACTAGGAAAACACAATCAGCATAGACTTGATCAGAAATACTGCTACTGAAGGAAGTCAAAGCATCATCGCTAAGTTGTCATACTTTAAAAGCCTTAAGTCTCTGTCTGTAAACAGAGATCTGACACCTTTTCTGAAGGCAGAGCAGTCCCACTGACACACAACGATTGCTGTGCCAGCGTTAGAGTCACTCTCTGGTTTTTGTTGTATCAGGGTTCTTGTACTCATGTTTGTTTTCAATTCTCTCTGTAAAGGATGTCCAGTTTTGTAGAGCCTCCAGATATAGTTAAGAAGTTGTCCTGGGTGGAGAACTATTGGCCTGATGATGCTCTTCTGGCTAAACCAAAAGTCACCAAGTACTGCCTGATTTGCGTGAAGGACAGCTACACAGATTTCCACATAGACTCGGGAGGAGCTTCTGCCTGGTACCATGTTCTGAAGGTGAGGGACATGTCTTTGCAGTGTATCTAGCAACAAACTAAACTTCATATGCAAAGACCATCCTAAAATTCTCTCCAAACCTCAGGTCTCAGGCTTTTTAATCCTCACTCCTGTTGTATCCAGAAGTAATACGCAGAGAGAACCTTAGCTGCTGGAAATGGGAATGTTCTCAGCAGTGTCAGATTCTGCTGGGTGATGAAACCACTTGGAGTGTAGAAGTTGTTAATGTATTTTCACTGTATTAGGATTTTAATATTTGTTTGGTGCCTTCTGCACATATGTCATTCAAGGCCTGAAGATACTACATCCTGCTGTTGTAGGGGAATGGGACCTGGCACTAAGAACTTTTTGCACCGTCATTCCCACCAATCTGAGCAAATATGGTCAGCCAGTGATTGAATTATTTCAGCCACAAATCTGACTAGTACATTTTATTTCAATAGTGTTACAATACATAATGTTATATATGTCTTTAGATTAATACTTGTGTGTGTGCGTGTATCTGTGCCAGCATTGTTTGGTTTGGATGCTTGTTGCTAATTTTATGTTTTCTAATTCAGGGAGAAAAGATATTTTATCTCATCAAACCAGCCTCTGCAAATATTTCTCTTTATGAACGCTGGCAATCAGCAGCAAACCACAGTGAGATGTTTTTTGCAGACCAAGTAGATAAATGCTACAAATGCACAGTTAAACAAGGACAGACACTCTTCATTCCATCAGGTGAGCAGGCTGTGGCAGGTGAGGTTTCTGCTGTTTTATTTCTGCTGAAATAGCATGTCCAAAGTGCTAGAGGGATGTGATTTGATGATTTTCTCAGACAAAGCATTAATTCGGATTCTCAGTAGAAGTACAATTTTGTATGCTTGTAAAAAAAAACAACAAAACCCCAGAACTTTTACTGCTTTCTATGAATATTTTAGCAGCCTTTAAAAAATACAACCAGTAAGTAGTGTTCTACTCTTGGTGTAGCTGGGCTGCAGTAAGTCAGGAGTTCTTCCTCTATATCCAATTATGACATTGGTTCTTTTTGCCATCTAACAGAGAATTCATGTAGAATTACTCTCTGATTCCCCACAAAATCCTTCTCATGGCCATTGATTCCCCATGACACAAAGGAGCTATAGGTGCCTGCAGAAATGTGAGTGTGCATTAATGCTTCCACATGAGGCTAAAAACCTGAGCTTCACAGGTTTTTATGGATTACTTGGTAGACTCGGGCTTCATTGCCGGTTAGGGGTGGTGGATTTTGTTCTTAGTTCCTGGGAGGATCTTTATAAGGGTAGGAAGTTGATCAGAAGGTAGTGTAGAGTTTATACTCCTGCCCCTGTTCCTCACGTTCCTCTCACCATGAACAGCATTGCTGTTTCCAGCAGTCCATTACCTGTTGAAACTATGATCTGTTTGAGGCAGGGATTTTCTCTCCCTCTATGTGCCTTTAAATGATGCACTGCCCACTCATAACCTGAGTGAGGCTTCCAGGCAGCATGAGTAAGTAAGAGCACTAGTACTTGTGATTTGAAGGCAGCATCAAATAGTGGCATATGTCTGTGTGTGAGTATATTCTTTTTACACACTGGAATTTTACTTTGACTGTAAAAAATGGAAGGCAGGTATTTTTCTCATGATCATATGTGGAGCAGATGGTGGAATAAACACCGAGCAATTTGTAAGAATTCACAGAATCACAGAATCATGGAATCCCAGACTGGTCTGAGTTGGAAGGGACCTTAAAGCTCATCCAGTACCAACCCCTGACACGGGCAGGGACACCTTCCACTAGAGCAGGTTGCTCCAAGCCCCTGTGTCCAACCTGGCCTTGAACACTGCCAGGGATGGGGCAGCCACAGCTTCTCTGGGCACCCTGTGCCAGTGCCTCAGCACCCTCACAGGGAAGAGCTTCTGCCTAAGAGCTCATCTCAATCTCCCCTGTGGCAGGCTAAAGCCATTCCCCTTGTCCTGTCCCTACAGGCCCTTGTCCAAAGTCCCTTCACTGTATTTGATTCACTGTATGCATCATATATATAAAAAAGATTGATTAATTTAACTGGATTTTTGTATAAAAATAAATGTTTGGAAAAGCACCCTGTTCCTGACACTACAATAAATTTAGTGTCAGGAATTGTCACAGATTTTTATGGTGATGTGAAAGCAGCTACCATTATGTAGCTGCTCCTGCTTTTCACAGTGACAAGAAAGTAATGTCAGTGTGAGCAGAATGTCCTCTCTCACCATCTGACAGTTGATGGTAGTCCTGGGACTGGGAGGCAGTGGTGTGTAGCAGCCCTCTGGTCTGGGCCTTTGTCATGCAAAACAAGCAAGGGGCAACTTTGTATGGTTCTCTGTATGTGGTTCTGGTGCTGATGTTGATTGAAGAGCTGTATTTGTACCCAGGAAATAATTTGAGTTAGAAACATCATGTTGTGAATTAAGTCTTTTTTACTGTCATTCCAGTTTTTACCCTCAGGACTCTTCTCTTTCTCTTTTAGGTTGGATTTATGCAACTCTAACACCTGTAGACTGCCTGGCCTTTGCAGGACATTTTCTACATAGTCTAAGTGTTGAAATGCAAATGAGGTAATCTATCTTTAGTATCTAAAGTTAGGTGGAGGTTCAGTTTGTAATACACTGGCCATCGTCTCTTGTTAATTAGCCTACACACTACTACTAATTACTACTACACATGCAGTAACGCTGATGGAGCTCTTTTGGGCAGTTTTGGAAAGTGCACCCACATTTGTCCCCTTTGACCATGTTGTCCTGTACTGAGCTATTCCAAGCTGTCTTTACACCCATTGCATATTACATGGAAGGATACATGAAGTGCTTGGCTCAATGTGGCCACATCCTGAAGGAACACTGTCAGTTTTACCCTACAACATGCCATTTCCCTTCTGGATAAGCCCCCATGTGCTCAGCTGGGCTCTTTGCCCAGTGTAAGACAATAAGTAGTCACTTCACTGATGCTGGACAAATAATGCAATGAAACTATCTAACATCTGTTTCACACAGTTTCTTCCTAGTGTTACTTCTATGTTTTGCTTTGAAGCCAGAATACGTGGTAGCAGCACAAAGAGATGAAGCACTGCAAAATGAACCTCGGGCGTTTATGTGCAGTGCTTGTCACTGAGGGACATACTTGTGCTATGCTCTGAGTTCAGGTGGCTTTGTATTACAGGGCGTATGAAGTAGAAAGACGGTTGAAAATCGTCAGTCTGACCCAGTTTCCAAACTTCGAAACTGCCTGTTGGTACATGGGAAAGCATCTACTAGAGACATTCAAAGGTAAAACTGCATTTCTTTGCCTGCCTTAATTGCTTAGCTTTGGGGGCCTGAAAGCAGTTACTCTTAATTTCTGCTGATGTGCCACATAGAAGATGGTGGCCAAAACCAGTCTTGCAAAATGCTTTTAACATACAACAGAACATGCTGGTCTGGTCCAGCTCTCACTGCCATCTCACTCTAAGAAGGACCTTAACTGTCCCTCTTACCTGTGCCTAAGAGAAGGTTTCATCTTCTTTATAAACAGACGCAAATAGTGTTGTATCACTTTTTTAGATGTTAGTTGCCTGTCAAGTCTGGGTTCATTCCCTGTTTAAACCTCATGAACTACAAGCTCTGTCAGCCCAACACATAGAGAAGCACTTCCTTCTCCCATCATCCTGCTGATCCCCGTTGAAGTACATGGGCAGGTCACAGAAACTCAGGGCCAAGGGGACACCAGCCATGTGGCCAGTGGGAGCACTGAGAAGTAAAGCAAAGTTTCCTGTGAAATTCAAAATCTTCCAAATCAGATTCCTTCAAAGTTGATCAGAATATCCATGTGTGTGTGTTCTTCATAGATTTGGGCTTGCTTTGTTCTTTGCCTCTATTTCTCTTACTGAAAATGTATCTCGAGGCACCATCTTTATATAATGAGAAAAATGTATGTAATTAATAAGCAAGGTGAAGGGTCCCTCTTGAGTGCTGCCTGGAAGGGGCCCCTTTGTGACCTACTCAACAGAAACTGGAGTGAGGGGAGATGTTCAGGCAAGCTTGTACTCATGTCCAAGTGAAATGCTTTGCCCACTACATTCCCTTTGTTTCCACATATTGGTATTCGCATTTTTGGTCAGAATGAAAGAACTGCTGATGGTACCTTTTCTATTCCTACAGCCTGGGATGTGTGAACATGGAAGCTAGCTTGAGTAACCAGAAAGGAACCAGAAGGATTGCCATTGTAGACATAACTTACAGGAGCACAGTGTAGGAAGGCTGAGTTGGATTTATGACACAGAAAATATACTCTTTATTACCATCAAGTTATAGTAGGGATTCATTTGTGGTGACCAACTTTCAAAGAGTTAAATTTCACAGTTAAACTTTTTCAGATGGAAGACTTTGTGTAAAACACCTTTAGCTCTCAGTGCTTGAATGGCATTTTTTTCTCCCTCTACTTAGGTTTGCATAAAGCTGGGCAACAGCCTCCTGCTCATTTACTCCAAGGAGCAAAAATTCTCAATGGTGCTTTCAGGTCATGGACTAAAAAACAGGTAGGAGAAGAAGCCTGTTTTAATATTGTCTGTTTGCCAGTCCCAGGAACAAAGAGCAAATGCCAAAACAAATAGTTTCTCTGTAGCAAAACAGTTAATTCTGAAATCCCAAAGGGAAGAGACTGGGAGAATGTGGAAGGAGGGCAATAGCTGGGATTTCATAGTGCCACATAAAGAGACAGCAATGAAAAAGGTACCACAAGAGATTTAAAAAAGTCACCTCTGCACACAGCTCAAGGGATACTGAATGGATGTTCCCCTGACTCTGAGCCTCTTCATGTGCCAAGTCAATTAAGCAGAGGTTGTGTATGAGAGCAGGGCCTAGAACAATGCCTGCATTTTTGCCTGCACAAGGTGCCCAGTTCCTGCAAATGAACATGTTCATTGAGCCAGGAAATACACCTGGGTTGGAGAGAAGGCTTAAAAGGATTTGCAGGCTAAATTTCCTGCTGCAGCCGTTGCAGAAGTGTTATTCTTGCGTGTGTTGCTCTTCGAGCTTGGGGGAATTAGCTGCAGGAGACGGGCCATTCAGTCGTAAAACGTGACCAGGCAAACTGGCAGCTTCAGGATTTTCACCCATTTCAAGAAGGGATGAGTAGCTGAGTACACACTGTTGCACACACAGGTCAGTTTGATGGCTGTCCCACATTTAAATGTAGTCTGGGACTTGGCTGCTCCTTACTGCGAAAAGACACTGCTTGAGCCTGAATTCAGGATTTCTTCCTGGTTTCCAGTAGAAGGATTAACCAGTGTACAAGCTCCCTTCTCCCTGTCACCCTGTTTATTTTTCCACTTGCCATGCAGACGAGAAGTAGTCTCAGGACTACAGTCCAAGGAAGTCAGACTGTGTTGGCATTTAGGTAAAGTTGAACTTTGAATATTCACATGACCTGTGAATGCAAATGTTAGTCCTGGCAGGGAGCTTCCAAAGTGCAAAGTAATATTTGAAAAAGACTATTGACTTTGTTGTTCTCTCAGGACAACTACACTAACATCCAGAACGAGAAAAAAAGGTGTATTTTTTCCTTATCTGGCTTGTTGAAGCACTCAGTATTGATTTCATTACATAGGAAAAATATGGACGTGTCACTTAAAGAGCTTTTTAATGTATTTTTGCAAAAACAATGCACAGAAACAGCAATCTGGCTTTGTTGTGTTTTAGGCTTTAGCAGAGCATGAAGATGAGCTACCAGAAAACTTCAAACCAGCACAACTTATCAAGGACCTTGCCAAAGAAATAAGATTAAGTGAGGTTTGTGCTGTTTTCATTATATTAACTGTACTGGTCTCTCAATAATCCAGGCTATGAAATGAGTGGATTGAAATAAATGAATCTTTTCCCCACTCTCTTCATTAAAGGAATTCATATGAGGTTTCACACTAGGGGACTACTCAGGACTTGTGTCTCGGGCTGACTTGCCACATGCTCTGGGCTCCAGTTTGCTTTCTCCTCAATGTTACGCCGTGTCTGCCTGTCATGCATCCTTTCTCCTTCACCTTCTCCTAGCTGGACTGGCCACACTCCTTCCTCTGTCCTTTTTTATTCTTTCACTTAGCTACTCCTACCCGAAAATGTGATAGAACTCACAGAACACTGTTCCTATCCCCATGATCATGCTCCCTATGCAGGGTTTCCTTTTTCATGGTATCGTCTATGGCACTATCTGAACTTGGAACTACTCTTCTATATGTTGTCCCAGTAAGAAGCCTTGCTCTTGGCTGGCTTTTAGGCAGAGTTCCTATGGAAATGTGATAATTATAACAACAACCTCTCCCCGCAAAACAACCTCCAAAAAAGGAGGTTACATGGAGGTGGGTCTCCCCTGTGTGACGTGCAGGGTGGCCATAGCTACTTCAGTTGTGACATTGTGTTACATTCACCCTCTTTCTAACTGTATCCAAAGACCTCCAAATTGAAATCTATCTTGTCCTTTTATCCTCTTTGATGTAGTGTGTAAGTTTTCCATTGTCAGAATGGCAAGTTAAGCAGAAAATAATTTCTTTTTAATTAGTTAGACAGCATTAACTTTAATTAGGCAGCTATTTTACTGTTGCTTTTTCCTGAGGGCATGAAATATGATTCTGCTACATTTATCACATCTGAATTACATGCTCAAGCTGGTTAGCATTTTAAACAAAAGACCATTCATTTTGTACGGGCAATCCGTCCAAGAGTCTGACCTGGGGATAAAACCTGGTAAGAGTGACATTACTTACAAAGCTGCTGGAGTTTCTCCAGGCCAAACCTGTGCGTGAGCAACATGGGGTGGGAATTAGCGGTGAGCAGTGTGTTATTGTGTGGCATGGTCTTTGTTCCCTGTCCAGCCTGACCCAGGAATGCAGTTATCCCTTTATGGAAGGGGGGACCTTTAGGGTTTGTTTCCCCAAGGAAGGCAGGGTGAGGTGAATACCTAACGTGAGGCAGGTGGGTCTGAATGCCTTTCCGTTTTGTGCTGAACTCCAGAATGCTTCAAAAGCCAGCAAAGCAGACACGAGTGCCAACACCAACGCTGAGGAGATGTGTCCTGTGGAGAAGGAGGAGACACCGTCACCCGTCCAGGCAATGCCTCCACCCCAGCCTGTGGAAAAGCTCCCGAAAAAAAAGACTCCCAAAACTGTGAAAACTCCCAAACAACTGAAGCCATCCAAACCCCCTAAACCTCCCAAGCCCCCGAAACCCCCTAAGCCTCCCAAAACACCAAAAGTTAAGGGAGAAGGGAAAAAGAAAGGGAAGAAGGCAAAAGAAAGTCCACCACCAGCCATCCCCAATCTGGACTTGCTGGAGGCACACACAAAGGAGGCTTTGACAAAGATCGAGACACCAAAGAAGGGGAAGGTGGGTCCTATTTTAACTTCTCCCTTTTCTCTTGCCATAAGAGAGATAAATTCTAGGGGTTGGAACTGGATGAGCTTTAAAGTCCCCTCCAACCCAAACCAGTCTGGGATTCTCTGATATTCATTTGAAATGGAACCTCCAAGAAACCTATGATTCAAGCTGAGTCTGGCAAACTTCTGCCAGTTGACAGCCCAAACCGAGGAGAGATGAAAATCAAAAGACATTTTTAATGGAGTTGTTTGGGGTTTTTTTTCCCCCTTGAACCATTATATTTTTATTTCAGGTGTTACTAGCACTCATTCATTTCCATAACCAGTTATCAAAGATGAAGGAACTCATTTCTAAAGCATCTTATTTGCATAAGATTTTGGTCTAGAATGAGTGACTGAAAATAAAACAATAGTTTGCTTCCTTTTTTGCCCATGTAAGATTCATTTTAATGTCCTTTAATTCAACGTGAATTCTGCTGCTGACTTCAGCAGGGCCCAGGATTTCACTGAGGCACTGACAGAGTGATGTGTTGTACGTTGTTTGTTAAAAAGTATCTGTAAATCTTGTCTGAAACACTTCTGAATTTCCTAGTGGTTTGTATGCAGTCTGTGAAACCCGCCTGGGGAGCAATAGGCAGGGAGATCGCAGTACTCCTGGACATTAGTATGTCAAGGAGAAAGGCAGTTGGTCTTCTGCATTCAGCCATTTTTGATGTTTGGGTTCAAAAAGAACAGATCAGGAGTTTTCATATTCTAATCCAGCTAAAAGGTGTGTTTCTGTACCATGCTGTCCTCATTGAGATACATGCTGGCTTTTTCCCCAGGCTGCAAAGAACGTTCTAAGTGCTCCCAATAAGGAAACTGCTACTAAGCAGAATGAGGTGGAGAAATTTGAAGTTCGAGAGCAAAATAAAAGCAAAACAGAAGCCAAATGGAAGTACAAGGTAATGTGTCCTGTTAAATCCTGCTGCTGATTCTGCCACAGAAGCCAAGTGATAGGAGAAGTGTGGAGAAATACTCATAGAAATACTCATACTAAGCAAGACAGTACAAGGTACCGATTTTCAGTTCCCACAGAAAATGGGAAGTAATCACTGATACAGGGAGGGGAGGGAGCAGATTCTTCAAAAGCATGTGCTGAATTGTCCATCTTCATCCTTTGGGAAGCCTGTGAGAACACTGTAAATAGTGAGATTTATCAGTGCTGATCTCTTGAGATTCTTACTTTAACACAGTTGGTACTACTTTCAGTCTGGAGTAGTTCCACAGAAGTCAATAACTAATGATGGCATAAAAGTAGAGTTAATGAAATCTGAATTATGCCACATGAATTTAAAGCTTGCCTTCCTGGAGGGCTAATGTAGGGGGAGTAAAATTCATTCATAGAATAATTATTTTTTTCCTTAGGTATTATTTAAAACAGGGTGACTTGAGGCTTTCTTACAGAAATAGCTGCTTTGTGAACTTCTCATGACAGAGGTGCAAACAAATCCCCCCAAACAAAGCAAAAGTACATGCTTTTTCACCTGGGGACGCTACTAATAATCATGAATCATTAACATTAGAGACATCTAAAATTTTTGTGTAAAACAAGTCACAGTTAATGTGATCAGATCAATATGTACCAATGAATTCCACAGCCTGTACAGCTTAGGAAAGTACTAGGCAATGCTTAAAAAATAATCAAAGGGTTCCACCGCACTGAATGACTTTGATATTAAATTACTAAATTCATAATTCTGGCTCTTCTGAAGGTGTGAAAGAAGCAGATGGAGCCTAGTTACAAAACAGTTGTATCTGGGAGTCTATAAGCACTGTGCTGGATTCTGTCCTTACTCATGATGCCGAGCAGCGTGCTTAGCGCCTGCTCTGATCCACAAAATGTGTGTTTAGTATTTGACCTCAGTCTGTACCAGTTTAAGAGAGCAGTATTTATACTTGCCATCATGTCTCTGGCGTGCAGTGCTTGAACTGGTGCTGAAGTGCTTCCTGACTGAGGACAAGTTCCTGCCTAAACCCCACATTAGTCTATGGAACACTGTAATCCTCTATCATTCAGCACATTTGAAGGAACATATTTTTCTCCTCATACAGATCAGTGGATTCTGAGGCTAGCTAGGGATCTGAAGTAACAAGAAGTCATTTAACTGATTGTTTTGGCTTGGGTCTTTCTCCTTTCAGAACAGTAAACCTGATTCACTTCTAAAGATGGAAGAGGAACACAAATCAGAAAAGACACCTTTGTCAGGAAATAAGGACAACAAATTTACATTCTCTTTCTCTAACAAGAAGTTGCTTGGGTAAGTAAAAATCTGACAATACACATCAACTAAAAAAGCAGATTAAAAAGTCATTATAAATAATTGTATTATAATGGTTTTTTATACAAGAAGGTGAAAATCTGCCTTTGTGGTCAAGGTAGAAAATACACTTACACAAAAAGCTCTGTTCTCTGGAACTTTTACCTAGAACCCAGCTTAATTTGCCGTAACAGCAAAGACCTATCTTTGAGGCTGGTAGTTGGCTTGTGAATACTGTGTTCAGCACTGAGTTTTGGCACTTCAGGTTCTTACTAGTTAAATTATATTAAGTGGTTTGGGGGCAGAACTTTCATGGTACAATTTTAAGAAACTGTTAAATGAACTCTGCATTCCAAAGTTCTGTGCTGCACGTGCATTATGCATATGATGATACTCTTTGAGACAGCTTTAAATAATACAGTGCTTACTTGAAGCCAGCCAAGGCTACTCCAGTGGGCATTTTATTTTAGGGTACAAATTTTAGGTTCAGAAATGTGTTTGTAAACTTACTTACGAATTGCTGTGGCACTTTGGAATGTAGCCAAGTGTCCTGAAATTCCTGCATAAAGATACTCACTGTCTTCTTCTCGTGTCCACTCACAAGATGTTTTCCAGTCAGAGTGTTGTTACTGGTTTGTAATTACTTTTCTTTCAGTTCAAAGGGAGTCAAACCCCAGCTGAACACCAGCGTGTTTGGGTCACTGCAGAATTTTAAAGAAGACAAAGCAAAACCTGTACGCGATGAATATGAATATGTGTCAGATGATGGTGAACTAAAAATTGATGAGTTTCCAATCAGGAGGAAGAAAAACACTACAAAAAGAGAACTGCCCTGTAAGAATGTTTCCTATTTTGTCTGTATCTGTACAACAAAGTCTTGGGTATTGATTGAGCAAGCTGTGTCTTAACCGTCAGTCCAATATAAGTAGATTAGGAGTGCTGGGTTTTGAAGGGAAAAGAACCATGACTTACTTTCTCTTTTTGTTTTTAATTCAGTTTTGTCAGATAAAAAAGACACTCTGCAGCACACTCCTGTTAAGAAGCCAAAGGTGGAGTCAGTATCATACAAGGTATGGTTATTATTGTACCTAGCACAGGAGCACCCGTTGTATGTCTCAAACAGTACGTATGGCGGGGCTGTGATGGCAGGAAGAAAGCCTTCTTATGGCTACTGTCACATCCTCTCCTTCACTCCACAGTCACATCCTCCCCAGCATAGGTGGCAGCCAGACATTGCCAGAAATGTGTCATGTGGTGCTGTGGCTTGAACTGCTGGTACCTGGTCAGGCCTGGCGGGAAATTTGTGGGGACCATGACAGTTGTCCAACATCACAAGAACAGGAGCAAGCCTTGAGAAGGGTCATACCTGGCTTGATGTTACATTGCTGACAGACACAAGGGGCTGTCCCAAGCTGCACTCTCAACCTGTGTCTGTTCTCCTATTTCCATTCACTTTAAACACTGGTCATTAAATTTCCATGTTCATGTTTGACAGATGAAACTCCGGGTAGTTGTACAATGGAACTCATGTCACCTCTCGTTTCACATTGCTAGAAGCCCTTAATACCTGTTATGTAGCAATTAAAGGTTTTGTTTGCTGTCATTTAGCAGAGTATCCCTCTGCCCATTATGGGTTTACATCTAGAATGCTTTTGACTCAGCGTGATACTTTACATGTCCCTAACTCAAGGCAATGTCAACGTGCCTGTTGATAGCTTGCATTCAGGAAGCTGAATAGCACATGTGGAAGTTTGCTCTGTATTACCATTGAAGCTCAATATTGGAAATTAAATGACATTAAAATTAAATGTTTTGTCCAACTGTGATTAATAAAAATTGTATTATAATATCTGAATAAATCAGGAAAAGCAAAATATGTTGTTAACACAGAACTGTAGCCAACTGAAATGTTTGACCCTAAGAACTAAGAAATCCTTTTCATCTTGGTTTGGCTCAGAGATACTCAAGAGCAAGTGCAGACGTCCTTGCCTCAGTTAGTAGTTGTTACCTGGAGGCCAGTATACAGAGAACAGGGAAAAACCTGCTGGTATCTCACTGTGCAGAAGCTAAAGGAGGGAGGCCAGTCCCTGGAGAGGCTTACGCAGGCTATGCATAAGGGCTGGGACATTAGAGGCCTGAAAACAGGGCTGGAATGGGGAAAACAAGTTGTTCTGTTGTACTCTAGACTACAGTGCATAAAGCAGATGCAGGCAGCTTCCTTCAGAGGCCTCAGATGCCGCTGTTTCTATGTGGCTATCCCATTCCTCTGGCTGTTCTCCCTGTTTTCTTGCAGTAGTGATGCCAGAAGTGGGTCTGTCCCTGTGTCTGGATTGGCTCTGTTAATAGTTTTGCAAGATACAGACCTGTGCCCTGATGTGTATCTGGGCTGACAGAGATATGGCCACACATTCGCTTCTTTTGCTACATGGATTGTGGTCTCAGGAACAGGAGCAAGGCCTGAGGAGGTAACACAGCACTTGGAAATGCCACCTTATGGTGGTTTGATGCCATGTGAAGGATCAGATCTCAGAGGTGGTTCTCCAGGGCTGGAAGGGGATAGAAATCCTGCCATGCCTGTAGGCTGCAAGGCAGCTGACATTTACTGTGCACCTGATTTTGTTTGTCTTTTGGTCTTTTGTTTTATTTAATGAAAGCACTTGACAAAGGCCAGGCCTGTGTCTCTGGAGGAGCAGGAGGCTGGGGACTAACTTCCACTTTTTTGAACCTGTTTCTTGTTTTTGCAGAGTGATGACTCGTCAGATGAAGATCTGCTTCATATTGACACAGAGGCAAAGCCGGGGCGCAATTCCAAAGTAAAGAAAGAGAGTGGAAGTTAAGCAGGAATTCTTGATCTTCTACAGGCAAGCAAGGAAGTTGGGGGTTTGGAGTATAACACCAACAGGTATGCACTAAGGGATGGTGTTCCCTCTTACCCATAAACAGAAACGGCTTTGTTGTGGCTGAGAATGGTGTGTGTGTGAGAATGAATTCTGCACCTCAGGAACTGCTTTATTTTTTTTCCAATAAGCAAATTCTTCCTTTCTCCCGTGATCTGGAGGGAGAGGAGGGAAAGCAAATGGGAAAGATTGTGGTGATATAATGTAGAGGCATTTCCCATCTGCAAATGTTGAACATCCATTTTGGCAATAATACTATAATAGATGAATCATTCAAAAGGAAGGGAGAGCTCAGTGAATGCAGCTTGAGGGCATGAATAATGGGTTTTAGAGAAGTAATAATTAAGTAATGTAGTAATGTTGTAATAATAAAGTCATCTAGATGACCAGCACTCCCTCCATAAGGCATTATAAGATGCTGTGCAGTTGCCTCAATGTCAAACGTTTGAAGTAAAAAACCAGGGAATTGTCTACCTTCCCTCACACCCCTGGTCATCATTCTTCTCCCCACCAAAACCCATGGCTTGGAAAACAAACTCTTTCATGGATAATTCTATACGTAAAATGGAAGTGGTTGCCTGGCCTTGGTTGGGTTTTATATGGGACCTTGTGGGTGGACACTGAAGTTGGCACTGGATGGTTCGGAATGTGGTTAATACAGGACAGCAGTAGAGCTTTTTAGTAATCCAAACAGTGAGCAGTGAAAAGCAATACAGAATCAGAGAATATGGTTCCTAGGCTCAAATCCTGCAGTGCAGGATCATCTGGAACACAGGTTTTGTTTGGGCCCATCTCCAAACAAATGGATGGGTTCACTCTCTCCAGTCTTTTAAGATCTTAAACTACTGGTAGAGAATTAGATAGCAGAAGCATCCATGTTGTTTTGAAAAAAGCCAGTGGAACTCTTCACATATGGAAATGTCTTGCTTAACTCAGAGGAATCCCCAAGAAGGGCTTTTGGGAACATCAACTGAGTTTACAGCTTCTGTGCATGTAATTGCACTAGAGACATGCCCTGCTACATCTTATGCACTGTCCTCCCTTGTAGTCTGCTGATGGAGTAGATCTTTGCTGCTGCAGTCTTAACTGGATGATTTGTCCCCCATCTGTAGAAGACCAAAGGTATTCTCCTAAACACTTTCCACTGCTCCATAGGAACCATAGCCTAGGTAAATTGCTGGCACAAGTTTCTAGCCTCTGACTATGCCTGTTGTTCAAACAAAAGAGTTATATCCTGAAAGGTGAGAATGACAGGCCAGGTGGAGATGTGGGAAATCATGTGAAATGTGTGACAAGGCTGTTCTTGTCTGGCCTTTTAATAAGCCATTTCCATCTCATCTCTGCTTTATTTGAAAACCACCTTTACCAGGCAGTCTGGACATAGAATTGTAGAATCATAGAATCATAGAATGGTTTGGGTTGGAAAGGACCTTAAGATCATCCAGATCCATTCCCCTGCCATGGGCAGGGACACCACACATTAAACCATGTCACCCAAGGCTCTGTCCAACCTGGCCTTGAACACTGCCAGGGATGGAGCATTCACAACTTCCTTGAGCAACCCGTGTCAGTGCCTCAGCACCCTCACAGTAAAGAACTTCTTACTTGTATCTAACCTGAACCTCCCCTGTTTCAGTTTGAACCCATCGCCCCTTGTCCTATCACCACAGTCTCTGATGAAGAGTCCCTCTCCAGCATCCTTGTAGCCTCCTTCAGACACTAGAAGCTGCTCTGAGGTCTCCACGCAGCTTCTCTTCTCCAGGCTGAACAGCCCCAATATTCTCAGCCTGTCTTCATACGGGAGGTGCTCCAGCCCCTGATCGTCCTTGTGCCCTCCTCTGGACTTGCTCCAACAGCTCCATGTCCTTCTTATGTTGAGGACACCAGAACTGCACACAGTGGTGCAGTATCTCCTCCTTCAACCTGCTGGTCACGCTCCTTTTGGTGCACCCCAGGATGTGGTTGGTTTCTGGGCTGCAAGCAGTGTTGGTTCTCCAGGCTGGCTGCTTGAGGCAGCATTTATCCTACTCATGATTCATATAAGTAGATACTGCCCATGGCAGGGGAGTTGGAACTAGATG